GTTGAATCTCCAAAAAAAAAGAAAATTCACTGAAGACTAATGCAATCTCTCACAACAAAGCTAGCCAGCACACTAATGCCGATGGGTTCCCAGAACACATACCTATCAGGTGAAGCCTACCCTCCAAAAAATGATTCCAGGGCTTTGCTGTTTGGAGGGGTTTTTGCCCTCCTCCCCATATATATCTCCCAGTCATGCAAAAATGTTTCAAAATTTTATTTCTATGACAAGAGCAACTCTTTGTATTAATTTTTAAAGACAGCTTATTCAAGTTCAATGGAAGTAGACTCAAATAAGAACATGACATGATACAACCTCTTTTTCCTGTGCAATTATATCCCTCTTCTTCACCTTGTCCCAGTCTCTTAGCTGGAGGAACACTGGTGTTCACCTAGTATTCTAGGTTATCCAGGAATTGTACTTTCTTTTCAATGTGAAGATAAAGAAAACAATACCAAGATTAACTGACAACCTCTCCGGTAGTCAAAAGTATATGGCACAATGGAAACACACTACCAGCAGGCCACACCCATTTTATACTACATCTGCATCATTTCTCCTCAGCACCGTGACTCCATCCTACACAAGTTACAAGTGAAGGTACTGAACTAAGATTTAAGCAGTATGGTTACATAATTTGTTTTATAATATATAAACACTCATAAGAAATCTATATTATCATTTAAGAGCAAGACTTGGATGAGTAAAAACAATAAAACAGCATTTTAAAAACCAATTGTATCATGTATTTCTTCTTTAAACATAAACTCATTCATCCATTCACTTGATTCATCTATTCATTCAAAAAATACACATTTACTGAGTAGTTTTTATGTATCAGGCACTGCTCTGGAAGAAGAGAACAAAAAAGGAGAATAAATAATAAAATACTTAGCTTGCCAAATGGTAGTAAAACAACAAAAAGGGGGTGGGCAGGAGATGAAGAATGCTGGTGACAAGGGTTGCAATCTTATACAGGGAAGGTGTGCTCTGAGAAGACAGCACTGGAGCAAGTATTTTTTTAAAGGGAAGGCAGTAAAGTGTGTTGCTATCCCAGGGAAGCGTTTTAAGTAGAGGAACAGGAAGTATAAAATTTCTAAGAAGAAGATGTGCGCACATACTGGAGGAAGAGTAAAGAGGCCACTGTGGCTGAAGCATCCTGTCTGAGGAGAAGAGAAGGAAGAGATGAGGTCAGAGAAGTAAGGGTACATTCTGTAAATCTTTGTAGGAAACTTTAAGAAATTTAGCTTTTACTCTGAAAAAGATGAGAAATAATGGGAGGATTTTGGAAAAGTGACACAATATGACTTACATTTGAAAAGAATCATTCTTACAGCTGTGCCAACTGTAGAGGGCTACTGAAATAATCTTCTCAAAATGACAATGACTTAGCTTAAGGTGACAGCATAGAAACAGGAGGTATCGTCAGATCTTGGACTTATCTGAAAGATAGATCCAAGAAATTTGCTGATGGTGGCGTGTGAGGACTGACAGAAAGAGAGAAGTCCAAGATGCCTTCAAGGTTCTTGGCTGGTCTTTCTGGAAGTGAAAGGATAGTTTGCTATTTACCAAGATGGAAGTCAGCAGGAAGAACAGATCTGAGAGAAGACTGTTCTAGGCACGCTATGTTTGAGGCACTTTTTAGGAACCCAAGTGAAGATATAGGAAAGGCAGCTAGATATACAAGGCTGGAATTCAAAGGAGAGACCATGAAAATATCCTCTGTACATTATATGGTAATGATAGCACTGATAAATACTGACATATAAATTGTTTTATAAGGAATTATTTTTCCGTCTAAATAAAATCGATAGTTTCTAACATATAGGATTAAAAATAATGATTTTTGTTTTATGACTGAAAGCCCCAAAGTTAAAGATTATTCTGCCTGAATTTTTAAAATTTAGGAGACATTGACATCTTCTGTCATACTAGGATATGATGGCCAACTGTAATTGTAAGTTTTCAAGACATGAAGAGGAGAAAGAGCCATAACCATAAGGACAAGAAATCTATACGTCTAATGGAAATACCTAAGATCAGAATTAGGACATACCAAAAGGCAGCAACCAAGTTGTCCAACTGATAGCACGAATAACATATTGGTTTATAACAGAGCTGCGAGCATACAACTGATGACCTACTGCAGATGCATGTTACTAAGTTTTCTTACTTGTTTTCTCCTCAGAACATATTCCAATCTTAAACTGAAAATAAGTAAAAAATACATTTTCTATATCATGTTTGAAATCAAATGTGCTAGGATTTATCTACTGAATAAAGCAAGATGGTTAGAACATGATAAAAAATATGAACTACAACACATGAACCTTATTTTAACTGCTTGTAGTAGACAGAATGTAGGATTGATTGGAGGTTAATATTATCATTTGGGGTTTTTCCCTAAATGGAATTCAATCAGTCCCTAAAATGAAAAACCTTATACTAGTCAGAGAGAATAGTAACCCAAGTCAAGAAACAAAAAAATATAAGCAGGTAAGTCAAGACAGGTTGCTATTACACTTCTCTCATATTGCCCGACTTAATGGAACCAATGTTTCCCTACTGACGGTATCTGACATAGCCTGAACGCCACCAGAAGTAGTAGGAAAGAGAGCCTTAGAGAGATGGTATGTGGAAGCCAGCCTCCAAAGACACAGAATAGAAGGTAGGACATAACTAGCTGGAAAATGGATTTTGCAGAGGAAGTGTGCCAAACGGAGCATAGCCAACAGACAGAAACTATTCTGGAAAAGACTGTCAAGATGCAGTTGGGCTGGTTTCCTTTGATCCACCCCTACTCTCCACACTCCAGAAGACTTCTTATTAAGCAACACAATCCTGAAAAAGTTCATTCAATATCCTCATATATGGAGGGTCACAAACTGAGTTGGTATCATGCCTTTTTTTCCTCTTCTGTCTGAGAAGTAGTAATGTCTACGGGGTTGAAGTGAGTGCAAGGGGTGACTCTAAAATGTAATATTATGGCTCTATTCACTGGTAAAAAATCTACCAAACATATTACCCCCCTGAGAATTGGTACACGGTCTTTCAATTAAGAGGACTGAACCCTAATAATAAACCTTTCAATGAAATTTCAGAAGACAGAGCCAAACTCAGATAAGTTACTACTACTACTACCTATTCCCTGCTCATATCCTCAACACACCTATTATAAGCTCTTCAACATAAAACAATAAAAATTTAGAACTATGATATTTAGTACAACCTCATAAAGGAATTTAAGCCCAAAGAGGCTGAGCTACTTGCCCACAACAAACATCTAAGAAGCAGAAAGGAAATTAAGAATGAATTAACTAAGACCAGTACTTTTTGTATTCCATTATACCATGCTTACCATTAATAGTTTTGTTGTTGTTTTGATTTATTTTCACAATATAGCCATGTAACAAAATATAGTTTTGTTTTTATTTTAAATCAGACTAATTAGAGAATTCCCACACTATTACAAAATATCAGTATTAAAATCTTTTTCTTGTCTGGTTTTAGATCTATTTCTTTTCATGATGTTCACTAAAACTCCTTGCAATGTTCACTGCCTCCAAAAGAGCTCATTCAACCTTGTAAAGATAAAAAACAAGCAAAGTAAATTAACTATGAAATAATTTACCTAAACTGCAGGCTGAGTAAACTAAGTCACTCAAATAGATATATCAAAATACTTAGTCACAAAATGAAAAAATGCATTCACTACTGTTTTCTTAATCAACTCTTCCTGACTTAATAAATTTATCATGTTAATCGCAATCTCAAGAATATACATATTAAAGAAACTGATGTCACAGTAGTCAAGCATTACAAATCTCTAAGCTTCTTCAAGCTGTCAATTTATCTGAAATAGAAATGTCGTTCATTTTCATAAATACTATAAATCAAATTCATCTCACTTGTTTATGAAACAACATTACAAAAAGTAGCACACTGTGCCACAGCATCAGTCATGTCTCCTGAGTTCTCTTTTTGAGAGGAAGTGGGTGGAGTTAGGGCAACTGACAGAAGGTGAAGAACATCTCTCTGTTGTGTGTGAAGAACAAGACTTTCTTATTTTTTTCCCCTCTCCTGATAACTCGGCACAGAACAAACTTTTTTTTAAATTAGCCGATTTTGAAAAACAACATAGAGAATGACCTTTTGTTCCCTGAGGAAATAGAATTTTTAAACTAAATAACAACATCTGGTCAGATGCAGTGGCTCAAGCCTATAACCCCAACACTTTGGGAGGTGGAGGTGAGAGGGCTGCCTGAGCCCACGGGTTCAAGACCAGCCTGGGCAACTTGGCAAGATCTCATCTCTACAATGAATCAAAAAATTAGCTGGGCATAGTAGTGCATGTCTATAGTTCTGGCTACTTGGAAGGCTAAGGTAGAAGGATCACCTGAGTCCAGCAAGTTGATGCTGGGGTGACTGTGAGCATGCCTAGGCAATGGAGTAAGACTCCAACTAAAAAAAAAATCTGGCTAGTTTAAAAGTTTTTTCATAATTTTTTCACATTAAGCTGCAGATGACTTATAATAAGAGCAAAGTATTTAGCACAATACCAACAAGCTAGAGTCAGTAATTTATATATAAGCACATAGGTCAGTAATAGCCAAGACACTTCTGAAAAAGAAGAATCAAGTGACAGCACTTTAATCTACCAAATACCAAAGCTCACAGTAATTAATTAAAATAAGGTAGTATCAGCAAGGTTACATAATTTCAGAATAGAACATCACTACACAAAGCCTTGGACATACAAACATCATATATGACAAAGGAGGGGGGAAAGACTGATTTTCCTGAAATGATTCTATGTTAGTATGATGATTAACTTTTGTGTCAACACAGCATCAAGTAATAGTCAGTAGAAGACAATAAAAGTTTTCTCCTCAACCAATAAGACATCAAAAGAAAAAAACTACTTCAAAGTGTCATCTGTCAGACAGACTAGACAGACAGATCGATCTTAATTCAGGATATAAGAAATATTTCAAATATACCTGTATGCTGCCGAACTCAACATTCTCATAATGGAAATGTGCACATTCAGCCATCTTGGGAAAGTGACCTTTAGTGAAGGGTAACCTGAAACAGAGGAAAATAAATAAGAAACAAAATAGTGGAATAGTCATAATTACTAAGTCTAATGGGAAAATATAATGGATTTAAGAGCTAATACAAGCAAAAATATTTAATAAGCACATGCACATGAGCCACATGTACACAAACCCTTTCAGAAATACATTGAGTCAAACAGATATTACATTTAGTGCACAGATCAAAATCAAAAAACAAAAAAAGCATCAGTCATCAAACTCTCCTAATCTTGACTCAAGTCAGTGCCCAAAGAAAAACTGTACTTTCAGCAAATGTTAGGAAAACTGATTGTGAATAGCCAGCTTCTGATCAGAAGTGGCATTCAATACAAAGTACAAAACCAGATTTTACCTGTGAATGTTGTCACAGCCCATCAGTCCTGGAGTGGTGGACCTGGACGCAGAATGAACACTTTTATCCTTGTCCTTCTTCTATTTACATATAGAGTGTAGCTATCAAAAGCTTTACCAAGTGAAAAAGTGTTTATAACTAAATAGGATACCTTCAGATACAGGTTGAGTATCCCTTATACAAAATGCTTGGGATCAGCAGAGTTTTGGATTTCCGATTTTTTTTTTTCTTCAGGTTTTGGAATACATATACATGTGGTATCTTGTGGATGGGACCCAAATCTAAACAGAACATTCATTTATGCTTCATCTATACCTTATACACAGAGCCAGAAGGTAATGTTAAAAAATATTTTGAATAATCTTGTTCATGAAGCAAGGTTTTGACAATGAACTATCATATAAGGTCAGGTGTAAAATTTTCCATTTGTAGTGTCATGCCAGCTCTCAAAAGATTTTGGAGTAGTTCAGATTTCAGATATTCAGATGAGAGATACTCAACCTGCATTTCACTTAACAGTCAACTCTTGGAGTTTATTTCACAATTCTCAAACCTGAGATCAAGCAATACCATAACTCAAAGTTCATTTTTCTGAATAAATGAAAGCATGCATTAAAGGTAACAAGAAAGATACAGTTGGACTGTTATTGTAAAACAAATGCAACATAAAATACAATGATATAAGTTGTTTCAGAACAAAAATAAAATATATTCTTAGACAAGTGAATACTCTGCAGTCCTTCCACCAATTTTTGAATTACAGTTTAAGGATTAGCAGTATAATTTACTGCATACACAGTAAGAGCATATTTAGTAATATAAGTTAGGAATATAAGTAAAGTTTTAAGATAACTAAAAAACAGCTGCCCTAGATGGCTCAGCCTATAATCCCATGCTTTGGGAGGCTGAGGTGAGTGGATTGCCTGAGCCTGTGGGTTTGAGACCTGCCTGAGCAACCTGGTGAGACCTCATATCTACACTAAATCAAAAAAAAAAATAAAAAAAAAAAGCCGGGCGTGATAGCACATGCCTGTAATTCCGGCTACTTGGAAGGCTGAGGCGGAAGGATCGCCGGAGCCCAGCAGTTCAAGGCTGCAGTGGCCGGGAGTGGCCACTGCACTCCAGTCTGGGCGACAGAGTGAGACTCCCACTCAAAAAAAAAAAAAAAAAAAGATAACTAAAAAACAAATTTCCATTTTTAGGAATTCATTTAGAACCGGCTATGTTATACTTACTTTTTCACATGTTTAACCTTCATGCTGGCTGTACTGCCACATGTCTTAAGAGTAAGATCTCCAGGAATCTCAGGAACATCTGCTCCTCTTGCCTTAAAAAGATAAAGACAAAATATCTATGACTATTTCTTTAGTATTAATACTTTTTAAAAAGCAGATTACAATAATTTTAATGGTTCTGCTGACTTTGTACCAATAAAAATACCTTTTGATTTAATAATCTCTTCCTAAAGCTACAACTTACGTTGAGTTTTATAATTATTAGTAAAATTATTCGCCTAACTTACATATTTAGCTTTACTGCATAAGGGAAATTTTACATGAAAACAAGAATTCTCATGCTCTTATAATCAAATTTCAGAATCAGCTATTATATTATGTGTCTCAACACAAACTAAACTCTTCCTCCCTGGGAGTTTCTGGAATAAAATGATTTTGGTTATAATGATTAAGAAAGGCTAAAATGGTAATATGAACATAATTAGGAGATCAACACAAACATTTCTGACACCCAAATCTGAAAGTGACATGCATATCACACTTTCAATTTACTCTTTAGTCTGGACCATACTGGTGAAATTTTAACTTTAAGTATACATTCAACTGTATTATATATTTAAAAAAAAAAAAACAGAAAAATCAAAGTTCTTAAAACTCTGGACAAAATAAAAATCAAGCCCAACTATCTATCTTTAAAAAGTTATGCTAATACTCAGTGATCTATTACAGAAACAAAGAACTAAGTACCACATGTTCTCACTCATAAGCGAATCTTGAACAATTATCATAATACTATAAGAAAGGAATTGGCAGTGGTGGGAAACTGACAGGGGAGGGAAGGTGGGGCACATTTCATCAATAAGGGTACCTGATCTCATACCAGGTGACCAAAGTGAGGCCCAAACTTCACTTTACAATGACCATTTATTTATACCTAATCCTGAAGTGTACCCTACGTCTTTAAAGTAAAGATTTTTAAAAATTATGCCATAATAGCTATGATTTATAACAGGAAAACTTAAGCTGAATTATTATAGCCCATGCCACGTGATTTAATAGGGAAGAATAATGTAGAATAAGCAATTAAAGTAGGCAAGTAGGCTGAGAGGATAATCACAACCTTAACTAAATAGTTAAAACACTTTCCTATAAAAAAAAATAGCCAAGACAGTTTAGAAAAATGTTAACAAAAAATCCACTTTTCAAAGATATCAGGTGACTCCGTATGAACTTATGAGAATTAACCACTGGTATAGCATCACAGTTGCTAGACTTTTTTGGTTTTGAAGTGTTTCCTTGGCAAACTTAACTATTTATACGGGTTGCTATTTCACGAGTGATCTTTATTAGATATCTTTGTATTCCTTCTTAGAGGTCCTTCAAGGGAAAAAGAATATTTACGATATTCTTTAGTATTGGAATAGAACTTATTCCATTTTACAAATACCATGCAGATCCATTTAATCTTTTCATATACCTAAAAGAGAATCTTCCTATTTTTTCCTCTACCTTGAGACAGGTCTTTCATAACCCTAAGTATTATTCCATCAGTACTCATCATCGTTCATCAATTATTCCCCACAATGCTAAACAAATTTTAAAAGATTGAAATGAAAGTAATTTTCTTAAAAAAGGAAAACGTGAGAACACTCTAGAAAACAGGTTGGCGGCCGGGCTCGGTGGCTCAGTCTGTAATCCCAGCACTTATGGGGGGCCAAGGCGAGTGGGTTGCCTGAGCCCTTGGGTTCGACATCCGCCTGGGCAACTTGGCGAGACCTCGTCTCTACAATAAATCAAAAACTAGCCGGGCATGGTAGCACGCGCCTGTAGTTCCGACTACTTGGAAGGCTGAGGCGGAAGGATCCCCGAGCCCAGCAGGTCGAGGCTGTGGTGGCCGGAGCGTGCCACTGCACTCCAAAAACAGGTTGGCAAACTTTTTCTTAAAGGGCCAGCTGGTTAAATACTTTAGGCATGTGGGTCACATTGTTTCTGCCACCACTCTGCTATTGTAGTGCAAAAGTAGCCACATATAAAACATCAAATATGATCATCTGCCAATAAAATTTTATTTGCAAAAACAGGCAGCACACAAGCTAAAGTTTGCCAGCCCCTGACTTACAAGGTTGATGCCATGGTGAAATAAATCATTATCCAGTTTTTATATTATGTTGCCCAAATTGTTCTTTCATCTTTCTAGAAAGTACTTTAAAAGCTTGGAGACACCATTTTTTGTCATCTGTATTTCGCTTTCATTGAATACCCAGACAGTTTTCATTTTCCTACCATAATACAAAAGAAAAAAAATGACAAAGAAAGATATTTTACAATGATTAGAAACATCAAAAGATGGATGAAAAGAGACAACAGCATTCTTGACCAATAATGATGTTAAAATGATCATGTACATGATATCTCAGACTAATAGTATCATATATGAATACAATATAACTTAAGAATTGAGTGAACAATATAATTCTAAGGACAAAAAGGAAATATGGTATTCTCCTCCAGTTAGTCATTCGACTGAAAAGGCTTTATTTATCATGCAATATTCTGCAACAACTAGGTCTCCTTGCTTTGATATATTTTTTTTAAGTGTACAATACTCTGTCATCTTTTATAATATTTGTGTAACAAAATTTACTTGACATCAGGAGTTTGCCATGCTTAAATTATTATTAAAATTTCTAATAATGTGGTTTTTCACTATTTATTCTACAAGTTATTCACAAATTGACATAAAATAGGAAAGAATATTAAAAGGATCTACTGGACTAAGTTAATAAATGTTGATAACTTTATTTGGTTGACTGAAAATTAAAATACTTACTTCCTTTGAAAACAAGCTCTATGTGTTAGATAAGCCACTATCCCTAAAAATGAGAAAAGAAAATGAGGAAACCTGCCCAGCCTATAATCCATATGTGGGAGGAACATCATGTACCACACACCTCTGCAACCACAACTGACTGGACTGTAGATGGAAACATGACCCAAAGGTAAATCCACAGGCTATGCAAAGAAGCCTGACAGGAAAACCTCTGCCTAAAAAGACAAAATGGTAATAATTAGGCCAATGAACCAAACAATGGTCCAAGAAGCTATAGAGGATTGAGAAAGTATTTTTGAACCAACAGTTCAACTAATCTGTGACCATGTATGTTTTGCCCAGCGATATTTTCCTATAGCTCAGATAAGTTCCAAGCACATTGGAGCCATTCAGTATATTTTTGTGAATGAATAAATACAGTACACTTGAACATAACAAGGTTGTATCATTTATTCTTTTAAGGCAAAGGAAATAGATTTGAAGGGAAATATTGCACAATTAATCATCAAATAAATAGGTCTAAAAATAAAAATTCGTCTAAAAAATAAGTCTAAATTTCTATTGAAAGTATGTAGCTTGAGTAATTTATTCTGTTGCTCCAAATCAAAGATCAAGAAAGTTCTCTTTAGAAAATAGTTCATTAAGTGATATTCATTTATAGAAAATAACATAATTTTTCCTATTTATTCATATCATGATTATCACTTAAATATGCATCCAAAGTAGAATTTACAATATCAGCAACCCAGAAATAGCACCATTAATCAATAGAAAATTAAACACACAAAAAAGGTATCCAGACATAGTTTATAAAAGCACACACCATTTATATTTAAACTATGTGTCTATTTCTAGCAATAAAGTAAGTTCCTAGAAAGTTTGACAGTTTCGATTATCTTTGAATTACAAAAATCAGACACAAATCATGTGCTCCAAAATATTCAATGGAATTAATAGATTAAATAACGATTTTTTAAACTCCCTACTCTTCCCTACATTTGCTTTTATATCTTGTTTTATACTATGTAATTCAAATAATATGTTCATTACAACTGACTATACAACCCTATGCTCACAATCTAATTCAAATCCACCTGCTCCATTTAAGCCTATCCCAATAATTTTGTCAAATACTGATATTTCCCTTATTAATCTTTCATGGAATTTATCCTATATACAGCACATTGGAGCATTTTATTTAGGTTTTATTGCAAATTGCCTTGTGTCATTCTCTAATCAAAGGCTTTTCTATTCATCAAGAAGATAAATACCTTGATGATGAGCTTATGGAATAACATGTATACAATGTTTACTAGTATTTGCCATGTCCAACCCCTATTATAACACTAAAATTTAACACCGTTCAAGGAAAACAATCAAAGAAACTCAGTATTGCTAACTACTCTAGAAAAGCACATTTTCTCTCTCATTTTTAAATTCACCTGTATAACAAATATTATCTATAAAAGTATTTAGATAAAATAAAATCCATTTTAACAGCACTATTTTTATAAATAAAAATATTTTACCCTTGCTATTTTGATGCACACTGCTAAATGATCCCCCAGAGAGCCTGCTCTAATTTATACTGCTACCAACTAAGTATGAGTGCCTATTTTCTCACAGTCTTAGAATGAATATTATCATGTCTTTATCTTTGTCAATCTGATAGAATTACTTCTGTCTTTCTTTTATAATTAACAAGATAAAAGATTTGAACATAATTTCACATTTTAGTGGGTATCTATATCTTCTATTTTGTGCACTATAATTTTATTCATATTTTCTATATTTTTGAGATTCTTCATGTCTGACATAATATGCCAAGATACTTAATAGCTTGCCACTAAAATTATAAACCTGGCAATTTATACTTCCTGATTTCAGACTTACTATAAAACAATTATTGATTAAGACAATGCGATATTACAATAAGGATTAAAAAGTCAATAAAATATAATAATAAGAGCCAAAAAAGGCCCACACATACAATAAAAGTTGATTTATGTCAAAAGGTGTTGACTCAATTCAAAAGAAAAGTACTGTCAATCAATTGGATCAGCACAGTTTTTAGAAGTATGCAAAATAAGAAAAAACTTGATTCTTCTCTTAAACAATACACAAAAAACTAATTCAAAGTGGAAATTCAATATGAAAAATAATATGAGGGGGGACCCCCAAAATTTGTATGTTAAAATCTAACTCCTAATGTGATGGTATTAAGAGATCGGTCTTTGA